GTAGGGCTGACTCTTCAAAACCTTAGTTGTTCCATACAGACTTCACTGAGGCTAGGTCTGGACCTCTCTTGGCTCTCCTACAAACACATGAATGAGCGTGAACAAATGCCCAGTGAATAATATCAAATAATGAAAATACATTGGAACAACATACATCAGACGGTCTTAGGCCCAATTCATATTTCTATCCAATATAAACTCTTAAATTAAAATAAATTATAATCACACTTAAAACTGGTTGGAAATAGCTTGGATTAATTTACCCTTTCTTTGATGGAAAAATAATAAAAAAATTAGGAAGTAAAAAAAATAATTGTAAATTTATAAAAGTCTAAGAGTTATTTATAAAAGCGGGAATTACTTAACAGTAAGATAAACAAAAAAAAATTACACAAATATAGTGGGTACAACTAGGGATGGCAATTTGAACCCGGCCCGACGGGGGGGGCGATAGGGTCCCCGTCGGGGATCGGGGCCGGGGACGGGGAATTTCTCACTATCGGGGATCGGGGACGGGGAGGGTGGTCCCCGGCCCCGTCCCGCCCCGTTGCCATTCCTAGACAGGTTAGGCTGTTCACATGGCATCTCCTTTTTCAGTTGATAATTAAACACCCATAGTATGTTGCTGAGTCTTATCAAATTAATTTATTTGCACCCTTTGTGTGCTATATTCTTTGACATCTTTGAGTTTTTTTTTTTTTTTTTTCTTTTTCTGGAATTTGGAGATAATTATAAACACCAAAACTACATTTCAGTTGAGTAAACCAGTTGGGCTACCTGAACCAGGTGTTCGCCCTCTTCATAAGGCTCAGGCTCAATACCAGGGAAGAGGTAAGGATGGCTGCATGTTTTTCGTAACTGCATTACCTGAGCAGAAGCAGCAAATTAGTTGGTAATAAGCTTTCCAGTTGAAAGCAGTTCGAAAACAAGAAACATAAAAAAAGGAAAGAAAAGGAAATAAAGGCCAGACCCCATTGATAATATTGTCCACACACAAAAGTAACACTTATGCCACAAGAAAGATGAAAACCAAGCACATTAGGATCAGTCTCTGTTACATGGACTCAGGTGCGAGTATGTGTCCAAGCATCAGACTTTCATAAATTTAAATTTTAGGATATTGGGATATGTATCCAAAAATGGATATGGGTACGGGGACACGCCATGGACACTTATATATATTGTACATTGTCTAATGTTCTAATATAAGATATTGTAAATTATATAGAAATGTGCATGAAATTAAATAGGATTTGAGTAAAATTTTAAATTTCTCTCTCATCCATGTGAGAAGATGGAAATATTTTTTTACAAGTAAATGTGACTTTCTTCTTCTTCAAACATTGGTATCAGACACATATCTCATACCCTTATCATTATCACATCCGGTGGACACTAAATAGAAGAGTCCATGTAGCATAGATTATCAGTTCAATAGGTAGTTGCACTTGTAAGACTAATTAGAAAGTCAAACTTGTAAGACAATAAATTTAAGCGTAAACAGTAATTGATTGGCACAGAGATTTCATGGATAAGCATGAGCTTTTATTTCTTAATGACAGTGCACATCAAATTGGATACAGAGAATAACAACCCAACTGTAGGTTGGACCTGGCAATTGTGCTTCCTTCGCTGCTGAAACTGAAACAGTGCATACTAAGGAACAGCTAGAGAAAAGAAAAAAGCAAAAATCTCAACTCAACTCAACTTGACAAGCCTATATCCCAATTTATTGGGATTGGCTACATGAATCTGTTTCCTCCAGTTAGCTCTATTAGAAGCCAGGTCCTCATTCAGAGGCAATCGCGTGCTTTCTTACCACCTCAACCCATGTCCTCCATTGCCCTTCCTCTATTTCTTTTAGCATCTCCTTACAAGTGTGTTAGTTTACATTGCACAAGGACATCCCACATCATATAACTTTTCGTCATTTTATGTTCAACTGGTAGCCTTCTAACTTCCCCATGGGATCGTGTAGGATCGTATGGTAGGATCGCAAGTAGGATCGTAGATTTTATGATTTTTCACCTTATTTTTAATATATATCATTTTAATTTTAATTTTTATCTTTTTTTTAATAGAAAGTAGGATCTTACGATCCTCGATCCGATCCTACGATCCGATCCAGCAGACCCTCTCACCGATCCTACTTAGGATCCCGATTTTAACAACCTTGCTAAGAAACATTCATAAGGGCTAGACATCTAATTTAGTGCGTCAAAATGATGTTGCTTGAATACATACCATATAAGGATATGCACCTGATGCAGGACAGCTTTACAAAGCTTGGAGTAGTACTGTTGCCTATAAATATAATAGGTATTGTGGTTGGACAGCTTTAAAAAATTTGGAGTGGTTAATAGGTATTGTGGTGGGTTTTGTTTATTGGAAACCTCTAGGGTAAGATTTTATGAGGGGAAATTTTTTTATAGTTTCTAGATTGAAAAGGCTAGTTTGGGCTTGGATTTCAAACAGGATTTCTAAAATTAGTAGCAGTATTTTTCTGTGCAACAACTATTTCCTGGTGTTTGAGTGTGGATTTGGTGGTCAAAGGGTAAGGGAAAAGGTTGGGGACAATTTGAACTTGATTGGCTATAGTATAAGGGCCGAAAAAGGCACTTTTTGAGAGTATTGAACTGTAACCCGAGAATAATACTTAGGTTATTTGCACAAATAAGAAGAAAAAGAATAAAAAAACAAGAGCTTACCCACACAAGGGTTAAGGAAATCTTAAACAAAACACCATACCAATTCTTCATAATATCAACTCCATTGAATCATTAGGATCACACGCATATTTATAGACAAAAAAAACACTCTTACTTTTATAAGGACTTCCAATTTAGAAAGAAACTAAGAATATTTGATAAGTAGAAATCTTCTAGATCAAATTCAAATAAAAATCAAATAACATTACTTAACCCAATTTATGACCCAAGGACTATGAGTACTACCCATGTCCAACAATTATTAAAATTGCCAAATACTCCTAACTACTAAAACATGATATAAAGCTACAAAATCTTTCCAGCAACATACTAGTTCAGAATAAATCTAAATAAAGACCCCAACACTACCATGGACACTTCCTTTTGGACCGAGAAGGCTTCTTGATGATTGTGAAAATCATAGCCTTCACTTTAGACTCCAAAACCTATCATACTTATTTAGTCATGCAATAGATGTGGCATCAGCCCCACCACCAGAATTAGTTGGCAAGCTTTGTCTTCTTTTCATCCCTTTTTCTATTGCTCCAACTACAATAAAATAAAAATAAATAAAAAGATGTAACCCAACCTAAAAGGGGAATTTTTTCATCTATTTTTTATCCCTTTGACGACATGGCCAAGTGGTAAGGTGGGGGACTGTATATCCTTCTTTCCCAGTTCAAATCTGGGTGTCACCTAATCAACGAAAACTTGAAATCTTCTATTTCATTCTACTAATATAACTAGCTTTATTATTCCCCAGGTAAAGTAAAGGAAAAGGATTGTTGATACTTGTTTGATTCTAAGCATCAGGTCCATCAGTTTCAACAAGAAAACCTATAATTTTGAAACAAACAGTTTAATGCAAGGTCCACTTACCTTGTTAGCTATATGAAAATGAAGCTTGATATCAGTGTAATAGATGATTCGCTCTTTGAAGACTAACTGTGTGTCTTCTTCTCATTCTGTCTTCTGTTTCACTATTTAACATAATATCAAAGCTTTGTTTTTGAGATATCTTGGGCTCAAATGTCTCCATATGTATCTCTTTTTCCCTTCCTTTTGTCTATGTATTATGTTTTGTGCATTTGCACCCAGTTCTATCAATTTGTATCACCAAATACAATCATCACAAGGATAGAGGGTGGTGTGAGAGCTTAATATTTAGTGTTGGATCAATTCCTTAGTAGCTTAAGCAGTTAGATCAACTAGTTGTCTAATACAGTAAACAACCAAATCCACTCCTCGGAATGAGACCTACTGCTCATGAATTTCAGGGGGTGCATATATAAGGCAATAATACATCTAGGAGAGTGGGAGCATAGATAACATAAGATAAAAAGGAAGGCTTTTAGTGCATGTAGCCGACCCGACTTGATTGGAAAAATAATAACATACAATATTCTGCAAGGATTGATGATTAGAAGCTCCAGAAGAGAATGCAAGAAGTCTGGGAAGCTCCTTTCTCAATATTGACATGTACACCTTCTTTTGCAGGTTCACCAAGGGTGCCATCCTATAAACAAAATTTTTATAAGCATCTTAACATTGCTCCATCCGAACAGCTATATAAATTTAAAAAGGTTGTTTTGCAAAACAGCTACAATGCAATGTTTTAATGCAAAATACAATCGGTTACATCTTAAGCCAACAATCAAGGTCAAGTGGGTGATTTGAGTAATTTGAAAATGTGTAAGAGGTCGTGTCTGTGCTTGTGTCCTTGGAATGCATGGGCAAAAAAAAAGATAAAAAGAAACCAGCTTAAAGAACTAACACTGTGATCTCAGTAAGAGGTGGCAGCACAAGAGTTCCAGAGTCAATAAGCTTAGATTTTGTTCTTCGAAGCATAAAAGCTCCCAATATATATTTCAAGATTTTAAATAGTCCCTTAACTTCAGCTGCATCATGACCTGCTTAGAAAAAGCTTCTGAAGCGTTAGAACGAAGATTCATTACTTATAAGGTTATTCTTCTTTGATGAATTTCAAATTATTACAGGAATGCTAATTCAGCAAGACCAGGAATTAACCCAATAATGTAAAAGTAGAGGTCGGCAATTAAACAATCCAAAAACTGATAAGATGATGTGCACATTGATTTCAACAAGAGTCCAAAAATCCAGATCCAAAAAATTTGATAGATCTATATATGTTTGTGTGTGTGTAGATGCTGTGAAAGTCAGCTTTCTCCCTTGCCAGTAAATACCAACTATAGGCTTCAATCTAAATCCATTTAGCAGTAGACCTGGAAACAAAAATCTCAACAACTTAAAAGTCCAAGCACTTTTGCAACAAATATGAGGCAACCTCCTACCTCTTACCACAGTGTGAAGTCAGATATTAAGTTTAAGTGGGGGAATAGTGACCAAAGTTCTTATGGAACTTGAGAAAGCATGGGTGATCAAGAAGCATCCGCATATGTACCACACCACCATAATAATCATAATCAGACCCTTAACTGCAAATCCTACCAAGTGATCTACAAAATTGTTCCCATCTCTCTGATGCCACATATTCAACAATATCAGCTTCTCTCAATAGTTTTGTACCACTATCTTGCACAAGGATACAATTTTTTACCAGGCCAGTGCCATCAATAGTCTTTTCTTGCCCACAATTAAAACATGTCTTTCCATAGTCCTTTTCGAGTTTCTGCGGCAGCCATTGGTTCTGATCAACAAAACCACTATTATGTGAAACAAATACTGACATCCTCATAATTACTACACTTCAATTTTGATGTCGACATGAATATTTTTGGTGCAAGTATGCTTGAATTTTCCAGATGAAAATAACCAGTCATCAATACTAAAAAAGATATCTAAATTTGGGTATCACACAGTAAATTTTGTCCAAGTCAGAAATCAACACAGCAACAGAATGCAGTAGGCACAATATTCCATGAGTGCTTGCTATGTAAGATATACACTCCCCCTACTCCAACCAATCAAAAAGAAAATTAATGGGAGAATCTAAACAGCATATTGTTTAGAGCTATTTACTCATGAATCATGAGAACAAATGCAAAGAAGTAAAGAAAAAAGTTGCATAGGTCAATACTACCATGATATTCAGCAATGAAGCAGTAGCTACAAAAATACAAGCTTTATATGAATAAAATCTGTAAATAATCATATACTACGATAGTCCAGTTTAATCTGTTATTGGATGCAATTTTTCACACCATCATGCACAGAATAGAACTATAGTTCGTCTTGCAATTCAACAATAAGCAATGAACCGATGACTGATGCACAGTCAGCAAAGATAGATCAACATCAACAGATAATTAAAGACAAAGAATGAACAGGTGAATAAAGAACAATAAGTGTGCTAATATAAAATCTCTCAAAAATCATACCCAAAAAAAAAAAACAGCTATTAATATATGGTAGTGTTTTTCTTTCTTTTTTTTGGATACATAAGAAGAGGAACAAAAAGGGGAAACAACCCATATACATAGCAGAAACAAAGCAAAGTGCTTAGCCTCAAAAGCCAAACAAAAGAAAGCCTATACAATTGTAATTAATATTTGATAGATTTAATGTGTGAAGAGTATATATGTAAGCTTCCATCATGTATAAGGTGAAATGCCTCGGCAATTTGAATTATGATAAGAAGGAAGTACGGAAAGACACAGGCATGAAGGACAATATCAGAGAACCCCAAATCTAGGTGGTGTAGAACATAGTGGGGAAAGAGAGAGAGAAACACTTAAGAGGCCACAGACCTAAAACACTTGCAATATTATTAATCCAAATCTGCATTATACAAAGCAAAATACAATATTTATACACTGATAATCCCAATCAAAGTGGGAACTAAATCCTAATATTATTTGGTAACACCATCAAATATCCTAAGAAAATATTTATTTGAATCCTAGCTAAATAATAATAATTTAATGATAATAATCTACCAATTACATTTATTGAGTCAAGAAGACTTCGGTCTACACAATGGACCCATGGGCTTCCCCCTAGGCTTCGAAAGTGGATAGTAGTCCTCCAGCCAGTTAAGGGTTGCGCCAGGGTAATGAGCATATCTCGAAAGGAAAGACTGTCTCAGATTATTGATTCATTTAAAGACAAGAATGACCTGATAAAGGATCTCCAGCTTTCTTAAATGTAGAAAGGAACTGCTCCAGCGTCCCAAAGATTGAAGGCATACAAAAATGCATTAAAGCCCAAAGTTCAGTGAGATTGTTCTGAATAGGAGTGCCAGTCATCAATAACAGTCTTGGCATGACAAAGCGCTCTCTGAGTACATTATACAATACCTGTTAAGGTTTTGGTAGTTAGGAAACTAAAATGAGAGCAAAAAAGAAAACTAATTTAGCTTAAGCATAAATTTGTTTATTTTTTGATAAGTTGGCTTAAGCATAATATTTAACATTCAAATTTATCTGATTTTGCTCAATAAAGCACTTCCAAGGATAGTAGTAGTCTAAAATTGCTCGAAAACTTGAAAGGAAACTAGTTGCTTAGGAGTTGAATCGATGTATCTGAAACATATGTCTGCAAGGGAAAAAATTACATAGATTACTATTCATGCATGTTCATTCTGCCATTCTTACTATGATTTCTTAAAAGCCAATGTATTCCAACTTATTATAGGTGACCAACACATACAAAAATGAGACAATCATTTATGTAGTATACTTTGATATTCACAATAATCACTATACTGCAAAACATGAGATGCTAACTCATAATCAGCTAACAAGTTGCCACCACAAAAATAAAAGTTGATGGATGGATTGGAGGGAAAATGAACATACACTGGAAGGGTTTTTAAGTCTTTGAGCTTCATCAATAATTGCATAATGCCATGGTATTTGAGAAAGAAAATCCTGATCCATCAATGCTATGTCGTACGTAGTCAATAGCACATCAAAAGGAAACGACAGTACCTGTAGAGGGATTTTCAAAGAAAACATAGATTGTGAACAACCCCAAGGTAAATCATGAAGGATTTGATGCAATGACATTTTTCACACAAACCTAAGAGCCGTAAACTCCGTAAAAAACCCATATTCCATTCTTTAATAAAATGCAGCAGCAGGATTCAAAACTTACATCAGACTGTGAAGACTGCTCTTTTACATGCTCAGACATTTTCCTGCGTAGATAGCATCGATGATCCTTCTCTCCAACATAGCGAAGGACTCTTAAACTTGGAGCGAAATTGGCCACCTCTGATACCCAACCATCAGTCACACTGAGAGGACATAAAACCACTGCATATAGAATAACATACTAAGGACATAAAATGACCAGAAAAGTGAAAGCCAAAATGTTTAGATAAACCAAAAACCATAGAAGAGACAAAGATTCCCAAGCCTATCAGAATGATTAAAAAGAAATTCTTACTCACAAAATGGCCCAGGTGACATCTGACAAACTTTCAAATAGCTCAAGAAAGAAATAGCTTGCAAAGTTTTCCCCAGTCCCATCTGCCAATAAACAATTTAAATCCAAAGCATAATCAATTGAAAAGAGACATTTATTATCATCAATGTATTGCAGCTGTATTAAGGAGAGACTTCACCTCTCCTTTGCTTAAATTAGTAGGCTTGTAGAGAATAAAACACAAATGAATCATGTGTATTGACCTGACAGAGATATATAACATGAAAATCCACTGTTTTGCATAGACCAGCACACAGATCTTTGAAATCCTCCATTATAAAACAAAGGTTAAAGGTGCATTAAGTTGAGGAAACATTTTGTGCCAGTTTGCTCATATAAACAACTGGCATACTCTACAGTGCTAATAACAATAAACTTCTATGCTTTAGGTCAATGCAAGAGTATACAATATTCTTGCACAACATTCAATTCAGGGTTTTTAAAAGGAGAATAAGGGTCAACCTTAATGCAATGGAATAAATATAACGAAGTTCAAAGAGAATAAACTTGCAACTCAACTAGGATTACACTAAAGCAAGGAGTGATCAACTCAACTCAACAAGAAATAATCCTAATTACTTGGTGTAAGCTACATGGATCCATTTTAATTAATAATTCTATTTTTTTAATTTTTTTTTTTTGATAAATTAATTCATAATTCGATTAAAAGCCATGTCCTCAACAAAGTCTAAGACAATCATGTTCTTTCTTACCACCATAAACCATGTTGTTCCTAGCCTTTTTCTTTTTCTTCTGGAGCCTTAAAATTGATCAAAATCACTCCTCTTTTATGCGCTAGTTGGTCTATGTTGCACATAACTATACCATTTCAAATAGTTTTCCCTCATTTTTGTTTTCAATTGATATTGCTTCTAACTCTCCTATTTTATATTTTATTATAACACCATTCATCCATCTCAACATCAATTTAACACATTTCATTGAGTCTTTAGGTTAGCCCTAAGGATTTCAAAGAAGTATATAAATTGATTTTGATGATGACAAAGCCTAAGTGACTATGCTTATAATAAGTTATTGTTAAATTTAAAGCTGATTAAAGTCTGTCTGATTTGTAGAATTGATTGGAACAATATTCTTGATTCGAGTGAGCTCATGAAAAAAGAGGAGCAAGCTCAAAGTATATTGCACCAAATAGAATCGAATCAAAAATGAAGGTCACCTTCGAACCTCGCCAAACTCCTCAATCTCGCCGTCAGAAATGAACGAAACAAACTCAGGATAGTAACATCCGGTGCCATCCCCCTTCTTGTTGAGCTCCTCAAGTTCCAGAATAGCAGTTTATGAGAACTAGCAACTGCCTCACTTTTAACACTCTCAGCTGCCGAACCTAATAAGCCAACAATAGCAGCTTCCGGAGCCGCACCGCTTCTTGTTCAGATCCTCAGTTTAGGAACCAGTTGCTTCTCACCGTCGCAGTCGTTGCCGTGGTGATCACCGTGCGCCCAATCTCCGTCTTCTTCGCCACCACCGGGGCCGGCCTGGCTCTCTATATCGTCCTCATCCTCATGCCTTTCATCGTGTTGTGTCCGTTCGCGTCTTATCATCAGCGACACCCGGTGAATTATTTTCTACTTGGGTTGTTTACGATTAGAATCTGTGATCCTAACCACTGTGGTGGTTGTCAGTCTCCCTTTGTACACGTTTTGGGCTGCAAAGAGAGGCCATGATTTCAATTTCCTAGGGCCCTTCTTGTTTGGTGCTGTTCTGGTACTTAATCTGTTTGCCCTGATTCAGTCGCTCTTTCCTCTGGGTAAGACCTCGTTTATGATCTCCAGTTGTCTTAGCAAGACAGCTTCCAAGGCTTCACAACAAGTGGGTACAGTCGACCCTCTTTCTTTTTTTGATCATCATCACCACCAGTGCTAATCGGCAAAACCAGTCGGCCATCTCTTTTGAAGTTCCTCCGACAGAGCATGTTCCAAGGGTATTGCCAAAGGATGAGGACCCAAGCTTGGTTAATAAAAATAAAAAAATAAAAATGCTCGGACAGTTTTTGGGTACATTGGAGAGAGAAATATATTATATAACCTGTTCTATTCTCAAATATCCTCCACCCAAAATTATCATCCCATTATCCACCGCCCAACTTTTGTCCCCTTCTTTTCTTATTTATTTATCATCCCACCCAGACACACTCATTCACACTGCCGACACGCACATGCATAAAGAGCCATATTTTCTTTTTTTTCTTTTTCAAACCACACCACGTTCCCACCAAACCTGTATAATATATTATACTCTCTTATCCTTTGCCATATTACCTTTATTTATTTTATTTTATATTCCCTTTTCCATAAAAAAAAAATATATATATATATATATATACAGATTTGCACACCAAACTTTCCCTTATTTTATTCATGCCAGGGCTCACCCCGATCACCATTTTACATAAAAAAATAAAAAAAATAAATAAAAAAAAATCCACAGGCGGGATTTTGCTTCTCTACTCTGCCACCGGTCTCTTCTTCTTGCCTCCGTCCTGGACGGCCCTTGCCGGTGTTGCCTCCGTGTTTCCTCGTCCACCGAGCACGTTCACTCCCCCATACTCCTCCACTGCAGCATCTGGCGGCCCTCCAAATCGGAACATCACGGTGGCCTTCCGCTTCAGCTCCTTGTTTTCTGCCTTTAGCACACTTATCTCTGCTCGCGCATCCTTATACATGCGTTGGAGCAGAGCCAGCTGGGAGTTTAACTGTTGCACCTCATTTGTCCTGCTCTGCAGCCGGTGCGACAAGTTTGTGACCGCAGTCATGGTTTCCACACATGATTTCAAAGTATACTGATTGGCCTCCACATCCGACTGCACTGCCATTCTTTGCTCCACAGACTGCATCGGAAAGTTCAACGGAGCAAACTCCGGGGCGCTTGGTTGAGTTTCCAGTGCCACCGCACCAGTTCCTCTTCTTGTTACTCTCGTGAGGTCGGGAAAGAGGGTGAAGCAGTCCCGGGAAGACGAGGACGAGGCCATTTTCTGGGTTACAGAGTACTACAGAGTTTCTCTCTCAGGCAAGGAAGAGTTTTTTCAGAAGATTTTAGCAGGTTTCAGCCTCAGCCTTCGTCTTGGTTAAATAACCAAGGCAGCCACGCGATCGCGCGCCACGCCAGACGACAAACGGGCGGCGCCAACCAAGACACTCACGTGCCTCGCCAATCATGTCCGGCACACCTTTTGATGAATTGGCACGCCTTTTGATTGGCACGCCTTTTTGAAAAATTGGGCACACCTTTTGAGGTGAAACTGTACAAGGTCCGCAGACTCTGTAAACTGTCCCGAATAGATTCGGTTAGTTTCTACAACGGGTCCGACATAGACTCTGTTAAAACTGTTCCGACAGATTCCGGTTAGTTTCTACAAGGGTCCGACAAGACTCCTGTAAACTTGTCCCGACATTGATTCCGGATTAGCTCCTTCATGGGTCCGACAAGACTTTGTAAACTGTCCCGACATTGATCCGGTTAGTTCTACAAGGGTCCAGCAAGACTCCGTAAACTGTCGAACACGGTCACAACATTGTCTGCTCAACGTCGACATGACCCCATAAACTGTCTTCTACATCGGTCTGACACCGCTATCCAGTGTCCTCTACAACGTTATGACACCACCATCCAGTGTCTTCACCAATGGTCTGACACGACCATACAGTGTCTCCTATCCTTTTTTATTTTTATGTATTTTCTTGTTTTGTTATTCTCTCCAAACTCAAGTTGGTTAGTTTCTATCCTCCTTGAGTTTGCGGGGGGCTGTTAAAATTTACCATCACCTACCACCAATTTACCATCACCTACCACCACCTACTCCTCACCTACTACACTCACCAATTTACCATCACCTACCACCACCTACTCCTCACCTACTCCTCACCTACTACACTCACCCTCTCCTATATAATAAACTACTCACCATTTGTAATATACACATCAACAATATCAATCAATAATACATAAATTTTAACATGTTGCACATAGCTATACCATTTCAAATAGTTTTCCCTCATTTTTGTTTTCAATTGATATTGCTTCTAACTCTCCTATTTTATATTTTATTATAACACCATTCATCCATCTCAACATCAATTTAACACATTTCATTGAGTCTTTCTGTTAGCCCTAAGGATTTCAAAGAAGTATATAAATTGATTTTGATGATGACAAAGCCTAAGTGACTATGCTTATAATAAGTTATTGTTAAATTTAAAGCTGATTAAAGTCTGTCTGATTTGTAGAATTGATTGGAACAATATTCTTGATTCGAGTGAGCTCATGAAAAAAGAGGAGCAAGCTCAAAGTATATTGCACCAAATAGAATCGAATCAAAAATGAAGGTGTCAACTCAAATCTAGAATGAGCCAGCTCAGAGCTTACAGGATTGCAAAGGAAATTCCCAGAATTTTCAGAGTCAGCTCAACACCAAGAGTCAGCTCAAAGTATTTTGCAGAGCAAATTGTTCAAACATAAATCAAGCATGAAGAGTCTGAATTCAAAATAAATTAAAGGATTTGAAATGAGGATTTTGATTGGATTTGATATACAAGGAAGATTTGTTCTACAAGGAAAGATTGTAGAATCAAAGGGATTTGTTCATAACTTTTTTTAAGACAAATTGCAATGTGCTATATTCAAGAAAGGAAGATTAGAGACAAAATTTGAATTTGAAGATTCCTCTGGTTTGCTATTTTAAGTTGAAGATATCATGATGAAGGTAAGCGTGGACTATGGGATTAATTGAAGAATATAGAAATTCAAAATTCAAATTGCTCTCGTATGGAAAGGTTCAATATAGAAGATACAGCAAAAGGAATTGATTTGAGAATTCCTTATTCAAAGGGAATCAACTTTAACAGTTATATTTTTTAAGCTCCAACAGTCATATTTTTGAAGCTATAAAAGGAGCACTCTAGCCTCAGTTGAAGTACACAACAAAAACACAAAAGAAGCAATAGAAAGCTCTCCACTGTTCTTTATTGGGATATACACTTTTGAGTGAGATTTTGTTGAGAGTTGAACTTTTATTGTAAAAGGGTTTGCATCCCCTTCTTCTTACTCTTGTGAGAGTGATCTTTTTGTGAGTGGTTTTTGAGATAAAATCACTAGGGATAGGTGTGACTAGGCACCAAATTTAAAACTAGTCGTGATCTTTTTGTAAGTGGTTTTTGGGATAAAATCACTTGGGTTAGGGATGACTAGGCACCGGATTCAAAACTAGTCGACTTAATAGATCACTTAATGTAAAGGTTCGCTAGCACCTGTGAAGCTAGCGATTGTGTTGCTATTTGAAGATCGTGGAGAAATTCTCAAGGAGGATACTTGGGGAGTGAACGTAGACTTGGATTAAGCCGAACCACTGTAAATCGTAGTGTTGATATCTCTTCTCTTTCTCTTATTTCTACTTATATTTTTCTGTGATTATTTGCATTGCTTATTCATCAGTTATTGTTTGATTGTTTAAGTTCTATATTTCTGTTTTATTTCTAAGTTAGCTCAAACTGCATTAGTTTTCAATATTGCTTAAATATTTTGAAAAATCCAATTCACCCCCCCTCTTGAGTTGTCATTACTGGGATAACACTTTATTTCTTCATTGATTGTAGTTATTGGGTTCTTTGCATCGTCTTGATGCTTTTTCCAATAATATTTGCTCCTTAAAGAAAAAAAAAATTAACACATTTTTTAGTAGCCCAACATTCTGTACCACGCAATATAAGCCCTCATAATAGTCATATAAGATTTTCCCTATTTAACTTAGCAAAAATACTATAATCACACAACACCCCTGACACACTTCAATTTCATCCATCTTGCACTAAGTCCATGGATCACATTCTCCTCAATGTCTCCTTTCTTATTGATAATTGATACAAAATACCAAAAATATTCACACTAGAAAAATATCAAAAATAGTCACATCTAGTTATCTCTCAGATTTCACTTTAACCCAACTCAGTGTTGGAACATGTCTCCTCATTGATACTCGCATATTGAACAATAGTAATGAACAAGAATACATCTCACCTGCAAAATTTACGGCATACATTCAAATTGGTCAATGGCTACCAGCAGTAAATTAAACTAATACAAACAAACTATCATCAGAGAAAATAAGTGAAAGAAAGCAAAATGACAAACTTCTTAACTGTGTGAGTTCAATCCATTCTGAATTCACATATTTTATATAAACCGTACCTCATCTCCTGCAACAACAATGAAGCAATACAATCAACGAAATGAACTTCAATTTGGCGCTTATAACAAATCGTTAATTTTAACCTCCAACTTTTCCAAAATAACCAAATTGTAATTCGACCCAAATTTGACTTTTAGTTTTATTATTTCAATTTGAACAATTTAGTCATATACTTTAAAGTCTAATTTCAATTTGAACAATCTAGTCGTATACTTTTAAATCTAATTTCAATTTGGTGCGTGTACCGAATCATTAATTTTAACCTCCAACTTCATTGAAATAACCAAATTGAAACTAAACTTACACGTAGAACCAAATTGTTCAAATTAAAATAATAAGGATCAACATAAAATTTGAGTCAAACTAAAATGGTTAAAACCTCAAAATAAGAGAGAAAGAAATCCTCCATTTCGATGCCAAGAATGTGAGAAAACAAATGCAAAACTCCACTGATTGAGCCAATACTGTACACCTAAAGCCTAATTGGCTTTGCTTTATTAGTGTTTCTATTTTTCAAAAAACAGGAGGAAACAAAAGGATGCACAGTTTCAGTAATCCTTTTTTTCTCGCAAGCCAAACAGAACGAAAGAAAGAGAAAATGACAGAAACCGTACCGAGAATGACATTGACGCCTATCTGATATCTTTGTATCAGCCATGAAAGTCCTTCGATTTGGTGAGGTTTAAGCGTGGCCGTAACGCCAAAGTCGGCGGGGTTGACCGGAGAGTGGCCTGCTCGTGAGTCTGCGGCGAAGACGAACTTCGCCGCCGCGATGAGCCTTTGATCGTAGTTCATGTTGATCAGGACAAAAGACTGACGAGAGAGAGAGAGAGAGCGAGAGAGAGAGAGAATGTGCTCGGTATGACGAAAATAGCCTCGTCAGAACAAAAATATTCGAATTTGAGTTCGTGCGAATCGTTTAAATTTGTGGCATTTCTCTAAATAAGCCAAAATACTAAATCAATTTTCAAATTAGTCTAGTTTTGAAAGAATTCTCAAAATAGACTAAATCGTGACCACGATTTTAACACATATGCGTCTGTCTCGCATGAAATTTAGAAAGTCTGGTTACAAAACGCGCTTTTGATTAAGAAATCGCGGTTATAAAAAGCGCTTGTAATTAATTTTTTTTTCTTCTGAACTCGCTGTTCCAAACCACGCTTTTATCCACAAAAAAAAAATCTTCTGAACTCGCTGTTCTAAACCACGCTTTTATGAAGAAAAAAAAATTCTTCTAAACTCGCTGTTTCGAACCACGCTTTTTGGCCAAAATTTTTTCTTTTGAACTCGTGCTTATGAACCACGCTTTTAGTCTAAATTTTTTTTCTTCTAAAAGCGCGGTTTTGAACCACGCTTTTGGCAAAAAAAAATTTTAGTTTCAATTTAACTGAACTCTGAAGAATAAATTTTTTTTTTTTTTGTCTTTTTTTTTTGTTTCTGTTGTCATTATTTTGGTAATAATGTATTTCAGAATAATTTTTTGGGTTAAAATTGTTTTACCAAAACCGTTCTCATGTTAATTTTTTTTTCTATTCTTTTGTCTTTATTTTGGGTTAGAATGTGTAATTCAGCATTTTTTTTTGGCTTGACTAAAGTAAATTTATTTTGTTTTTCTTGTGTTTGTTTTGGGTTATAAGGTAATAATGTAATTCATAAATTTTTTGAGCTTTAGTAAAGCCGTTTTGATGTAAAAAAAAATATTATTTTAATTTTTCTTTGTTTTGGGTTTGAAGGTGTTATTCAGTAATTTGTTTGGGCTTTAATAAAGCCGTTTTTATTTAAATATATATATTTTTTCTTTTATCTTTGTTTTGGGTTAGAAGGTGATAATGTAATTCATAAATTTCTTTTCGCTTTACTAAAGCCGTTTTCATGTAAAGTTTTTTATTTTTTACTTTTTTCTCTTGTCTTTGTTTTGGGTTAGAATGTGTTATTCAGAAATTTGTTTTGGCTTTACTAAAGCCGTTTTCATTTAAATAAATTTTTTTTTCTGTTGTCTTTGTTTTGGGTTAGAAGGTGATAATGTAATTCATAAATTTTTTAAGCTTTAGTAAAGTCGTTTTGATGTAAAATTTTATTTTATTTTATTTTTTTCTTTGTTTTGGGTTAGAAGGTGATAATGTAATTCAGAAATTTCTTTTTGTTTTACTAAAGCCGTTTTCATGTAAATATATATATATATATTTTTTTTAATTATTATTTCTTTGTTTTGGGTTAGAAGGTGTTATTCAGTAATTTGTTTGGGCTTTAATAAATCTGTTTTCATTTAAATATATATATTTTTTCTTTTGTCTTTATTTTGGGTTAGAAGGTGATAATGTAATTCATAAATTTCTTTTCGCTTTACTAAAGCCGTTTTCATGTAAAGTTTTTTATTTTTTATTTTTTTCTCTTGTCTTTGTTTTGGGTTAGAATGTGTTATTCAAAAATTTGTTTTGGCTTTACTAAAGCCGTTTTCATTTAAATTTTTTTTTTTCTATTGTCTTTGTTTTGAGTTAAAAGGTGATAATGTAATTCATAAAACCTTGAGGAAAAAACACATAAGTCTCCCACAAAAATACATAAGTAGTACAGACATAAGTCTGGAACAACAATACATTGTGGACACCATGAACTGAACACACAATACATAGATAAACATAACAGTTAAACAGACAAATATTAGCCAGACTATCTGCCAAACTCATTACGGAAACACTTACTCTAACACGGACATTACATATTAATGGATGACCTAATATTGCCGAAGTGTAGACATTAACACCTAATTCGCACTTAAATCGGTAGGTGGCTCAGAGTCTGAATAATCCGAAATCTCAGCGTCAGAGACAAGCTCAGGATCCTCCATGATACCCTTGATAGCCGCATCATTTGATTCTGTTTTGTTCTTCTGGGCATCCTTCTTAACTATGTATAGCTGCATATCGCAGGCTAACCTATGGCGCATTTGAGAAATCTCACGTTGTAGTCTTTCACATAGTCGATCAACATTATTAGGATCTTTCTTTTAGATCTCAACAGAACGTGCTTTTGGCACCTTCAATCGATTTTCCCGATATAATCTTTCCATTTGGACTCGCTCTATAAATAGTGCGGGCCACTTCAGAAGTCTAGCGTTTACTAAACCATATACTGTTTGATTATCTGATGGTTCCTCCACCAAACCACATGGATCTCGATAGTACTTGGGCATGACAAAATGTCGCTTACCAAACCTATCATGATAAGCACAAGAGGCATCTAACAAAGTAAATGGTGTTTCATCTTCAGCATCGCCACTTCCCCTTCCCCCTCCTCTTTGTGAACTGTCACCCCTTTGCAAGTTCCTACCACCTCTGCGATTCTCACTCCCTCCCATGAACCATGTAACCATGCTAATTTTTTAAAACAAATGAATGATAATTTCGTAGGGCGAAATGAGTTGTAAGGTTGTGTCTTCACCTTTAGTCGTTTATATAGTTGGTTATGAATAGCTTTAGAAAGATGGCCCTGCATGACAATCCCACATATACGAACAAGGTATGAGTTGTCACTACAATGAAAAAACAGAGAAATGGAAATATTGTGTACCAAGTCACGTGACTTGACAATCCATCTGCATATACCGACAAAGTAAGGGCATGCTCACTGTAAGGTAAATCAGTGAATTCACTGTTGCCATGTGACTTTCTAAATTGAGAATCCTACATATATTAATAAGAAATGAGTTGTCACTGTAATAAAAAAATCGAGCAAAAAATCGATAAAACCAAAGCCTATGCACCAAGTCACATGACTTGATAATCCATCTGTATATACTGACAAACTAAGGGCATGCTCACTGTAAGGTAAATCAGTGAATTCACTGTTGCCATGTGACTTTATGAATTGAGAATCCCACATATATTAATAAGAAATGAGTTGTCATTGTAATAAAAAAAATCGAGCAAAAAATTGAGAAAACCAAAGCCTATGCACCAAGTCACATGACTTGACAATCCATCTGCATATACTGACAAAATAAGGGCATGCTCACTGTAAGGTAAATCAGTGAATTCACTGTTGCCATGTGACTTTCTGAATTGAGAATCCCACATATATCAAATTGGTATTGAGGTAAATCTGTTTGTATATAATTAATTGTAAATAGTGATTTTGACAAGCAAATCAAGTAAAATCAATTGGGTTTTAAATTTAGTTCCCTAACTGGACCAACCACTTGGCTTTGAGCTTGTTTGTCCAGCCCCCTAAGTTTAGTTATCTGTCAACCCCACATTCCTTACCAGAGTCATCATTTTGACTGGACTTCTAGGAATTGAAAGGCGACTCTTTCTTCTTTCCTGATGGAGATTGAAATTCTTTACGTACAGGATCCCTATTTCACGAGCCCCAGTTAAGGGAAGCTTTTCACCGAGCTACCTGTTCTGTTTTATGTGTTGTTCAAGGCGGTAGTTCGTTTGTATGAACTTTATTTAGTTCCCCAACTAGACCAACCACTTGGCTTTGAGCTTATTTGTCTAGCCCCCCAAGTTTAGTTATCTGTCAACCCCTCATTCGTTACTAGAGTCATCATTTTGACTGGACTTCCAGGAATTGGAAGGCGACTCTTTCTTCTTTCCCGATGGAGATTGAAATTCTTTACGTACAGGATCCCTATTTCACGAGCCCCAGTTAAGGGAAGCTTTTCACCGAGCTACCTGTTCTGTTATATGTGTTTTAAGTATTCACATAATTCAACATACATTAATCCATTCATTAATCCAGAATATTCATTAACTCATTGCAATTCAATAAAGAAAGTCATGAACTAATAAATGTGCAGTTATAAATGTAGTTATTTAATAAACTTCAGGTTCATAAAACAAATACTTGAAATACATCCGTACGTTAGATGAACAACAACATTGTCTTACACTCCAGTAACGAAGATATGAGACAACATACAAACATATATGAAAGATAAAGGTGTTTGATTTCTCATTCCTCATCTGACATGTAGTAGTCAGAGAGATATTTTTCATTGTTTAAGACATTATTTTGCTCAATCACTGTCAAATCTCTGTTGCTTGCTTCTGCCATTTCGGTGGCTAGCTGAAGCATGAAATGTCGACATCTCCGCATCAACATTCTATTGTTCTCCTTCTTAATTCTGCTAACTGCTTTTTCATAGTCACTCACATTTCGTCTAGCCATGGTCAATGAACGACGATGAGGTACCGGTGCCCCAAAATTACGTAGATCATTAAACAATCATTCTTGCTCCGTTACCCTGAACGCCCATTCTGCTCGGATACCAGCATAATAATCCTTCGGACTCGAGTACTTTTCGTTCTTGTAGTCATAAGTAAATGAAGGTAGTAGCTACACTTTCGAATTTCTTTGCTGGCGTGAACTTCCTGCACCTCTTGAAGGCATTGTTCATAAAATAAACAAACAAATAATAATAGCAATTGTAGATATATTACTATTGTTATGACTTAAACAAACATCATACTGGGGGTGTCGCTATTTATAGACATCATACTGAGGGTTAACTAGAGATGATCTAGTGACGATAATGCATGCTGGGGCACTATGGAAGATGTGATACCCGTGATATTATTTTTTAGCTTTTCATTTCATGCAATCCTGAGTACCCGTGACTTTGTGTACTTGTGATGTAGTCACGGACGTGGTTGTTAGATAAAATCATAATTGTAGGCCAGAGGATGACAATGTAATCCCTTCATATTTGAGCAGTGAGTTGTCAAATAAAACAACATGCAGTGAGTTGTCACATCGCCACATGAAACTATTTTTTCATCCTTACTTTTTTAATACAGTAAGTAGTCACTTGGAATTGACGATTTCAGTACAAATTGGTGTTTTCAACAAATTATAAATGAAATTAAAATGCTTA